TTGTTTGTGCCATCTCTATCCGCAAGATCAACAAACACTGTTCATTTTCCCATCAGTGAATTTAATTGGATCAAATTTCATGTTGTCTCTTTCTATCCAGATGTCATGTATATATAGTATGTCCAAATAGCATGGGGGCATTCCTTTGAATTTTATTTCGACCATCCCAAATAAGAGCTTATATTTTTCAGTCCTTTTAAAGCTTTTTTTTCGAGACTTAGTACATGTATTGATACACCAAGTCCCACTATTTTATGAACGTTACACTAAATGAGTGTGAAGCTTTATCTAAATATGAAAGAATTGATTAACTACTCTTTTTCATCTTTATTTATATCTTATTTGATCTTAAATTAATGATGAGATTAAATCAATTATACATTAATAAACAAGAAATCCCATGACTAATTTAGTATCTATCTAATCTACTTAAATCGAATAAGAGTATATATATAATGATACGAGGAATATTTGATTCCAAATCAAGGTATAAGAAAATTAATAAGTCTGAAATGAAAAAAAGGAAAAGAACTTGCTCTCTGATCATTGTTAATATAATTTATCTTAGTTGGTCTCTGATTAGTATAAAAAAAAGATGAAATAAAGTCAATCAACATTGTACTATTCAAAATAAAGAATCAATGAAAATTTCTTCGCATAAAAAGAAAAAGATCAATTAATCCATCAAAGAAAATTTTTATATAGTGCATTTATTGATGAGTCAAAAAGAAATATTTTTAAAACACTATATAGATAATCTTTTACCACATGAATGTATAAATTATGGGGATAATAAAAACTCACGTATTTATGGATTAAAATTACAATGAATCAAGAAATTTCATATAATTTCAATACACTGAAACCCGAATCGTTTTATGTATTGCTAAATATGACTATTGATAATTATCCAAAATAAAAATATTTTATTGATACCCATAAAAATCTGGATAGAAAATATTTTGATTATAGAATTCTTCATTTTTGGTTTAGAAACAATATGATATTGAGAACAATAGTGATATGGGGGACTTTTTTAATACATATATCAATACATATATGGGTATACATATTGGTAGTAAAATTGATAAAAATACTAAGACTCGTAAAAAAAACTTTTTTGAATGAATGGAAATGAAACAAAAAAAGGTTTATTCTACCATATAACCCTAGTTCTTCCCAAAATTTGTGTTACCTTTTGATCTATATAAGATTAAATCATGGATTATACTAATCAAATTTTCTATAATATATATATATATAATTATTATGGTTAGGAGATGGTAGTCCACTAAATTTAATTAAAAATTCATGTCACCAAATTCTCCCAAAGTTAACAAAAAAAATTGATGATAATGTGATACATAATTAGGATGGGATACGATAGTGCTAGAAAGAATATACCTTTCAACATATGGGTATTATGTTTTCTTTTGACATTACAAAGAAATAGATTGTTTTTATATATTTATTTTAAGAAATATTATATTAGATTATAATATATCAAAAATTTTGAAATATGACAATTTGCTTTTTCATCTTTGCCATCCTGATTGACATTGTGACAAGTGTCATCACTTATAGCATTTCTGAACTAAATCGATAAAATCTAGAGTAAGTTGATTATAATAATAATAAAATCATAGGTTATAATTATTTAGGATTGATTACATAAATTTTTTTACTGTTATTAAGATATATAAAAATTCATATATTTAATTAAGTTTAGAATACTTAAATCTTTATATATAGTTCTTACTAAAATCTTTTTAAGATCATTGTATTAATCATTTTATTTTTTTTGAATTTCACATCCAAAAGTTTCTTGAGCATATATATACACATATTATATTAAATAATTTTCTCTCAATTTATTCTCATGATATTTTATGAATAAATTTTTTTTTTTAACTCTGCAAATCTATCTCACAACATAAATTATTATATATATATTATTTATTAACTACTCAACAGATTCATATGGTTAATTACAGAAAAAAATGAAAATAAAAGCTAGCATAGATTTAACATGATCAAGATATTATTAAATAGTCAATTTTGATCCGGGCGGGTTATTCACCGTTGGATCCTCAATAGTATATCTGATCCCACGTGGCATGATCACGTTCATACTTTTGACCTATAAATAGCAGCACCATATGGCACATCGCGAGACGTGCCGCTCCTTTTCGCCGCCTCGGCGGCGGCTACGGTTTGAAAGTCCACGCCGCCTCTGGCTCGCTTGGTGCAGGTCGGGAACGCCTCGATCCGGGTCTGAGGGGCCGCTTACCGCCTTGCACCAACTGAATCGGAGGCGGAAAGCGATGGTCTCCCCTTTTAGCGCGGCTCCCGGCTGCTGGGTCTCGACGCTTGGAGGTCAAATCGAGTCTTTCTCGTTTATCTTTTTTTCTCTTTGTCTTCGATTAGGCTTGTTTCATCTTTTTCTTTCTCGTACGTTGAATGCTATGTTATGTTGTTTTGGATTTCCGCTTGCGTATTTCGACCATTGATTTACTCATTTCGAGATTTCGGATGATTAATCGTCTCAAAAAGTCTCGATCTTTGGAGATATACAGCAAACACTTGTGCAGAGCGCAGAAAGCATGCTGGTCACAAACAACTCGGCTCATGTCAGTCCACAGATTGTTCAAGATCAGATCTATTTGATCCATGAAAACCAAGCTCGAATTCAATTTCAAACCAAACCTAACTGGATAAGGATTGCTCGATTGCGGTAAACTCTTTTTCATTCTTTAGTTCTTATCTTGACTAGGAATGCAGCAATCATTTTCCATTTAGCAGCTATTTAGTAGCAATAAATCCTATGTCATGACTATATAAACACAGACCTCAGTCTTCTACTAAAGTGTATTAGCAGTTCTAATGACTAGCTTTCGACCAATTGTAAGCATTACTTGTTCCTCTGGATAGGCAGATGTTAAAGAAACAATGGCATGCTTAAAATGGATGTTAATTGAATGATATCCTCAGGCAATTTTAGAAGGTGCATATCGAATGCCAACACTCACAGGAGATGTAGTTCTTAAGGTTTTTCAGATCATAACTCTTGCAAATTCTGAAAGATTTTCAAGTAGATCAAGTATGACTCCAATTGTTTGATGTGTATTATATAGCAACTGGCAAATTTCTTCTATTTTTACCAAGTCAGAAGGTTGTCTTGATCTATGGTTAAGATAGTCCTATCAGTTCCTGTTGGCCTCATCCACAAGAAGATCCTATTGTTGGCAACTGATTGCAAATGCTATTATTAATCATGTTCTACAGCTTATACATGCCTAGCATGTATTTTCTGTATACATTAAAAGGCGCTATTTTGTTTGTTTTATCTCTCTTCTATGTGCGAGAAGGTAAAACATTGAAGTGGCTTAGTAGTGAAGCTTATTATAAGCGATTAATCTGCACAAAGAAAGACAACAGTTTTAGTGTAATGTAACCATACATTAATTTATTTTTTCATCTCTGCATTGTTAATTCATACCATCCTTGTTTCTAAGATTTAATTTATCTCGAGGTAAGTGTATCTTTTGGTGGACTCCCTTGTTTTGGCAGGAATTTAACACGGGCAGCGCATGTTAACCGAGGAGTCCGCAAAGGATGAACAATGAGACGATGAAAAGGAAGCCCCAGTTGTAGGAGCATCAGGATGAGTTATTCCCAAGCTTCCGAAACATTTTCAGGCTCAAACCACTTGGTTTAGATCTTCAATGTAGACAAGGTTTTGTATACAATCATAGGATACTTAATCACTGATCAGTACATCATAATGTAATCAAGGCACAAAGTTTTGATACTATATTGACTGCAGAGCAACAGGTCTTGGTGTTTGTCCATTGTTGCTTGATAGATTTATTTGTTTCTATAATGTGAAGCAGAAGAGTTACCAGTGCTCAGTGCATGTTGGACGGTGGCCAGTGGCAACTGGGAGAGGGATTTTATTGGAAAAAGCTGTTGGATCCATACAGCTCTTTTGCCATGAACTGTTCATGTGTGTTGCTTTGTGTTTGTGCACTTGTGGGGCAGTGTAGCTGAACCATGGCAGTCAAATCTGTTCTTTCTAGCATTTCATTTTGATCTCCATGAATCCATGCAGTCTGTATGCTGATATTAGTGAGCACATTGTTCTGATCAACACTACACAGGTACAGTTTGGTCATGGTAAACATATTCAACCACCTTTTCTTCCTCCAAGGAAATGTTTTATTGCCCAAAAACCCTCCATTCTTAACTTCAATCATATTAGCCTCTTATGATCTTTCACAATGTTTCTAGTACTGACATTTTGGTAGACAGAATTGATACAAATAGAAGAAAGAAAAGTTTGTTGCCATTTTTGTGGCACTTCAATGATGAAACTAGAAATTAAGTATTTTTCAAATACAAATTGTGTGCAGTCGTAGTCATGCAGGAGCAAAACTATCCAGAAATAAGTCATCTAGGTAATTATTTTGAAGGTTTTCTAGTTTTACAGAATGGTACATGACTGAATGAACCTTTGGGTAGTGTCTAGGGCTAGTTCATTGTGTTGTTCTGCAACAGTGACATATGAGTATTTGTGGAGACTTTGGTTTGTAAATCATCTTAGACTCTTTGTCATGCAACCGTTTAAAATTTGCGAAGCCCATGTTTATATTTTGTATAGTCTATCAAGTGTTTGTTGAAATGATTATTTACGGATCCCGAGTTAAATGTTTTCTTTAGCCTATCTTCTTTTTTTAGATCCTTAAAAAAGATTATAAGAGGTTTTGAATAAGAGGTTTCAATGAAGTTGACCATTTACGAATGGACATGCAAGGGTGCTGATGAATCAATTTATCATTTTCATTATGAATTTATGATGTCTGCTGGAAAATAAACTCAGTATCTTATTATAGGATCCCAATACCAAGAAGGCAACTAACTGTCATAACCGATAACTGATACAGGTCCTCGGACTCCTCAAGTCAACGAGAGCCACACAACTCTCCACACTAGGATGCCGGATAAGTCTTCTCCCATCTCCCTCCACCACCCGACCACCCTCCCAAGATGCCTATCTCCATCCCTTCTTCAACCTCCGGGCCACCGTCGGCCACCGTCTCTTCCCTCCCTAACTCGGTACAGCTCCACCACCGCCCCGATCGATCCCGGTGCTTCCGAATTACTTCGCCATCTTGCAAGCTGAACCGCTTCAGCACTCCGCCGCCGCGCCAAAGGGTTGACGTTGGGACGAGTCGATGCCTCGGCTGTAGCAGATCTGCGTGGGGGGGGAAGAGAAAGGACTCTGCTTCGTGCTCGGTCACCGCTAACCGTGACGGCGAAGTCGAGTCCGGCGTGGAATTTCCCCGAGACTACTTCGAGCTCCTCCAGCAGGTGCTTCCCAAGTCAACTAGGTTGACTTCCTTAGTTCGATGTCACTCAATCTAGCAAGCAAATCGCTCGCTCTGCTGTGCAAAACCATCAACTGGTACTCATCATAAGTTCCTCCTCTCACCAATTCTACTCGAACAACTTGTAAGCTGTCATGGTGGAGGTAAGCGATTGGAGAAGAAAGGATCAGCAAGTCAAGCTAATTGAGATTGTGCATTTGCTTGGAATTAAGGAAGCATTGATGAGGCTGCAAACCAAGGATTTAGTTTATTCCAGCTAAACACACACACACACACACACTATAATCTAGATGTAATGCAATAGTGCCATCAAATCTTGTCCTGATCCTTTGGATGATATGTAGACGAGCTTTATCCTAGCAAAGGTTATAAGCAGTATATTTATGGTTTGATGAGGCAATAAACATCTCACAAGTGTGACTCAAGAACAGGATAGGTAATGTAGTTGTTGATGCTTATTGATTAAGGTTGAATGAAGGTAGAAAAGTATGGTGTGGATTTGATGGTTTACTCCCCCGTTGGTTATTGGCTCGATTTTCTTGTGACATTATGGGGGCTTCTTCTAGTGCCAAACATTATTCGTGTGGTATCGCTTTCGTCACGACTGATGTCGAGATGAGGAATGGATTCAGTCGAATGGCTTACAAGAAACTGAGTTGGGTGTACCAGACAAGACCCTTCCAATTATCTGAACATAAAGAGTCGTCTGAACCATCAGAGTTACCATCAACTTCGTGTGCTGATGGTATGTCTGACTGATCGTTGACACACAAGGCTGACCAGTCATCCGACTTGGTGTCGACGTGACACTCAACTTTCAATGTGTCATTTATCCATATCACCATCATATGATAGTAGAGCTAAGCATGACAAGCCAATGGAGTGATGTTTTCCACCTTTTACTGATCTCAGGCGAAAGAAGCAACTGCACTGGCTTTAAAGGATGACAAGCAACTGCTGGTGAGTCGATGATTAACCAATCCTTTGAATTATGATTTATGAACATGGAGAAGTCAGTTTGCAGAATTAACTTTCTCTTACAGGAGATTGAGTTTCCTACTTCTGGACTAGAATCTGTGCCAGGTTCTTCTCATTCAAATATTTTCCCTTAGCATGCTATATATACCCTAATGCATCATAATTCATGCCAGTCCTGTGATTAGGTGATGGTGAGGGGGGGATTGAGATGACCGAATGCATGCAGCTAATCAGAGGATTCTGTGATCGCCTAATAGCTCCCGAAAAATCTACTCGAACGCGAGTGGTATGTACTTTCCCAGATGAATCAGATCTGTTCTTATACATCCGATATTTATCTGCTAGCGTATGGAAAAAAAAGATCAGAGGATCAAATTGAGTGCTTTGATCTGATTTGTAATGGTAAAAGCAGTCCAAACTACAAAATCTAAGTCTGTAAACAAAGTGCAACACAAATTTTTTGTGTGTACAGTTCTTCCCAGAGGCAAATGAAGTTGAATTTGCAAGAAGATCAGCATTTGAAGGGACTGCACTAAAGCTTGATTACCTAACAAATCCATCATTTTTTGAGGATTTCGGTTTCATAACCAAAGTCAAAATGACAGATCGCGTAAAGCCAGACGACGAAATGTTCTTGGTTGCATATCCCTACTTCAATGTCAATGGTAAGCTTTGTTGATCCTTCTGAGTTATCTATTTGATTTCTGTAGATTTAAAGGATGAATTCATTGTTTCACAGAAATGCTTGTGGTGGAAGAACTTTACAAGGAAGCAGTTGTAAATACCGGCCGAAGGCTAATTATCTTCAATGGAGAACTTGATCGGATCAGAAGTGGATGTATCCTCTGTAGGCTTATATTTGATTCAATCTACATGATTGTTGGAACTTACCTTAATTTCCATTTACATTATTTATTAGTTCTAAAATCAGATCCAGTTGGGATCAAAATGATAAAAGAATGATTGATTTGCTAAGAAGTAGAGAATTCTAAACTTATATATGCAGAGCATATCACCAACAAACATTGGAAAAAAGTTCCTTTTTCTTTTCTTAATGGCAGGTGACCTTCAAACATATTATGTATCCTTTTGTCAAGTAGGATGCAAGATTTCCCCCATGTCACACTAATTAATTAGTTTAAAGGATACAGTTAAGCTTGACCAATTGTTCTGACAAATGGAAATCATTATTTTTAGGTATCATCATCACCAAGACTGAGAAAATATATTTGCATCAATTTGGTTCTCGACTCAAATCCAATCATATGGTTATTACAGCAAAATCCTACATATAGAAAATTGAAACATGAGGAGAAAATGCTTCGTTTCAGTGGTAGAAATGGGAGCAATGCTTCCACAAAATGCTATCACGATTGATGCAATTTATATTTTAATGCTTCTTGTTGACATTCTACACTAAATATCCATTGAGAAAAGAAAGTGCAATAGTTTGTCGAGTAGTGTATACCGAGGACTGCAACACCCCCAATACGATTTGGTAAATATTTTACCGGTCCGATGATCCATCGGTACATGGACGAGGGTAATCTGACGTTGTCCTGGATAGTTCCTTGTTTCTTGTTTCTTCAATCTGTTTTCAGGAATTTTTTTTAAACCTAATATAACGACACTCGGTATACCAGTATGATACCAGTCCTAGCCTTGACTGGTACACTACCAGCACATGAAATTATGAACCTTGGTCTGTAGTATATGCATCTTCTTGATCATCGCCAGTGTAGAAGTATATATAGATCTTGCCACATAATTTTCATTTATTACTGTCCTTAATGAGTTAGATTATCCACAATTCTTCTATCCCAAGTTGGCTGCACTTACCAAGACATTCCTACCCAAGTTGGAGACAGTCTACTACATTCACAACTTTAAAGGACTCAAAGGAGGAACACTTTTCAGGTTTGACTTCATGCTTTGATATAATATGGACAACAATTGGGAAAATAGATGCCTTTGATTCTTATTTCTGATTCCTGTTATTTGAAAAGACACATTAAATATATGTCCAGTCTGTGTTTTATGTACCTTTATAGAGAAACAGCAGCATGCATTACTAGAATTCATGTTTCACTTTCTAAAATATTCTGTTTTTTCAGGTCTTACCCTGGTCCATGGAAGGTATTGAGAAAATTAAGAGGTAGATACATATGTTTGCATCAGCAAGAAGAGATGCCATCACTGAAGGAAGTTGCACTCAACATTCTTCCATCAGCATAATCCATGAGATACTAGCCATTCCAGCGTCTTTATGTACATATACACAGGTGTAAGTGGAGCTGCCAGTTCTTTTTTTTTTTTTCTTTCACCACATACATTTGCATTCCTCAAACCTAGAGTTTTACTAACTGGAATATGGCATTGCATGTTTGGTATTGACTGCAGAAAATTGCAAGTCTGATGTACAGGTTTGGTGGCATTGTCTGGGGATTACTGTGACAAGATGGGGGCTTTAAGTGTGCATGAAACAGTATCCTTTTACCAAGATGTTGGCAAAATTTTTTGCCTTGAGAGATTTGTTGATACAAGATCTCTATACCTCTATCACTATTTTGCAATTTTGGATCTCTGGCCTCTTTTATTCCACCCATTCCCCATGTAATAGACAGCTAGAATCAATGAGAGGCTTGCAATTGATTTCATGCACTTGATTTGATCAATTTGAAACCCCAAAAAAATCATATATAATTATTTCTACTTTTAGTTGGAACATCAAGTTTTCACCTCTTGGAACATATACACTGAGCCATCCTTTTAAGAGGACCAGATAAGCCTGGACCTAAAATCTAACCCAATATTTAAACTCAATTATTGTCTTAATGTAATAGTATAAAAAATGTTTTTTATAGCCTTAGCAATAGCTATTAGATCAAGGATATGGACTGTGGAGATGGACCATCCAAACTTTTCTTTTTGTTAGTAGGTCTCAACATAAGAGCATATAGTCCAGTCAAATTATGGAGAAATCACAAGGTAAATTGAATTATCAAAACAATGAGAGATAAACAATGTTTAATAACTTAAGATGTGTAAACAAACTTCCAACCACCTGCAAAACTTGGAAGATGAAGGTGAAAAAAAAAAGCTGTAGGACATGTCCTCTCAACATTGCATAATGCGATAGGAAAACTAGAGCTCAAATGGCATACCATAATGTGATATGCCAAGTTTGCCTAGATGCAGGAGATGAACTGGACTTGGAAGACATCAAATAAGAATACAAGCAAAAACCTGGCTGTAGTTTTCAAGTGACATGAACCAAACGCCTTGTAATTCACGTCCTTGAGTTGATGATCAAAGAGGTAAGGACTTGGATGAGCTTCTGATAGATTTTTTCAAGGAGACTTCTTGGTATGACCAAAACTGCTGATGTTACTGTCTGAACTGTACAACTCGGAGCATGAATGTGTGCCACTTCTGTTGATAGCTGGAGAAGGAACAAAAGAATTTCTATTCATGAAATGAATAATGGATGCAACATAATCTGAAGCAGTCATTCTTCTGAAGGGCTATCTGCAAGGTCTGTGACAAGTGCAGACGACAGCTCAACATGTGACACACGAACAGCCCCGATGAGTCGCTCTGGAAGCTCATCAGAAGTAACAGCCTGCAGGAACTCAAATTTTGTAATTCATGGTTTTTATTATCAAATCAAGTATTGACAGATTCCTATGTGCAATGAAACTTGAAGTATTGACAGTTTACAATATGGAAAGCATATTTTACAATGCCCCTTAGCATAAAAAGCAAGTCCAGATGGTCCACAATTGAGTCATACAATGCCCAGTGGCTATAAATTACTTCATAAAAATCACCATATTATGACATTTCTGCGAAGAAGAGAGACAAGGCAGTTTGAACACCTGGCTACTTTTGGTTGAAATCTAAATCAGGGGATTCCATTTGGTCAAAAAGGTAGGATGACTAGGGATCATGAGAAAGAAACCAAATTCACCTCAGAAATTATGCAACACTGCAGATCACAATTCCAAGGATCAATACTAAAGCATATGGATGCAGCTAGAAAGCACAATTTCTAAGGTGCTAGCTACATCACTAACATCTGACAATTTGGCTTCCACTGGTGGTTTTTGTCTGTCTGAAAATCCTTTAATGCCTTCAACAACCAATATCATCAGCAAGGTGAAACAATCTAAAAATTTAGCTTCAGATGTTGGAGAACCTATAAATGAAGAAATTAGCACCCATAAAAAGAATTGGCTTTAACACTGACTGCAAATCAAGATGCCACTTGCCAGTATGATTTGAGTAGTAACCTGTTTTTCATGCATTGCAGTGGTATCTAAACTTTAAAATTCCCTTAAGCCCGTTTAATGATGCAATGCATTCTCCAAGAGAAAAAGTAAATAAATATCCGTATTAAAAGTCGGAAAGGCACCATGTTGGATTACCTGAATGAGGAATGCCATATCAACTACCAATGATGTAAGTACACCACACACTAGCCCGAGCACTCCATTAGCCACTGCTGAAGAACCAATATCCACGTCTAACTGCACAATATTACACAGATATCTTTAGAATAATTGTTGACCCTATGTCCTTTGCTTTTTCCTTATTGATTCTCTAATTACGGAGACCATAAATTTGATTCTGCGAACTATGTGGCATCATCATTTGGTCTTACTTCCAAGTATTTTTCTCCACGAATGTAGCTACAATCAACAGCTTTTCCCAATAAACAAGGGTTGCTTCCAACACTTTGACGAACAATCCATGAGCCCTGTGTCAATAATTAATGATAAGTGTACTAAATGGATAAAAAAATCCCTTAAATGTTGATCCAGGGATATGAAATGATACAAGTGAGCAAATTTATACATAAAAAGGGCTTTGAGAGATTAAGACCTTAGGGACAGATGGGATTAGCTTTAACCTACTGTTGCGGAACTCATCATCGCCATCAGCAAATCGCTGCAGTAGTGATCCAGGTACCAATTGTTTCTTTACATAATAGAACACCATACTGTAATGTGTTGATCCTGGAATCTACAGAAGCAGAAAGTAATCTTTTACTGACAAGCTAATCTGAGTAAAGGTATACTGGAAACGGGTAACTTCATATGTGCCACTAAATACATCAAAAGCTTTGTATATCAAAAGTTGCACATATCAAATGCTCTTATAACTGCTAGATACTTTTTCAGATATCCCAAGAAAGATACCCTTGTCCTCAGAGATCTGCTAAATCTTGGTTGAGGTTTGAATAGAGATCAATACAGATTAAAATGAATAAATTAGCCCGAATCTCTCACTATTTATTTCCTTTTCTTTCCTGGGCTTTTATTAAGGTCACTTTGATGAGTTTAAAAACATGCCCCTGAATTTTTTTTGATGGATAATTCCAGGTTGGTCATGTTTCGTCTGAAGTCCGAACTATCTTTATGACAATAAAATTACTTGATTTTAAAATGGTATACATGATGTTTGCAATTTTATGAAAATTCTTGCAAAATTAAAGAAAGAAAAAGGCACATGAGGTGTCAGATTTTCAAAAGCTGTAGGAGTCTATGCATTTTCTGTGACCGAGGAGCCTGATCACCACAGAAAATGGCACACCAAATGTTGCAACAGTTACATAATCTCAGTCATACAAATTATTTTCAGGGCCAAAACCAATTACCAATATCATCAAATAAACATGCAAGTTTAACTGGCCTTAAATTTGTGCTGAATTTCAACAAATATGCATTATTAGGGCAGGAAAATTGAAACACAATCCTAAAATATTGGACTGGTCTAAGCATTATAAGTTTTATTCTTTAAGACAGCTGCATCTGTCTGGAAATACTAATCCCATATCAACAATATCAAACAATAGGTGTCCTGAAAAATGAAAAGGAGCCAGGGAACATCTGAACTTTTAAAACAGAGCATCTTAAGAGTGAAGAAAGAATAGAATCAAGAACTTACCTGCAGATTTATGACCAAAGTGAACAGTCCTTTCTCAGAGGCAACCTACAAATATGACAAAGCAAGGTCATAGTGAAGCTAATGTTATTCACATTATGCTAAACATTGTGTGCAAGTAATATCTTTAAATAAATTATTATTTTGAAAATGCTAACAAGTAGAGAACAATATGAAGTTGATAGTATAGATGCAAAAAACTCTCATATTGTTTTACCCATGGAAAACAATAATTGACACCATCTTCAATATGTAACAGATTACAGGTATATTAATGGACTGCATTTATTGAAATTTTGGAGGCATTAAGCCAATTTCATGGAGTCAGACAAGCAATGCTGAACTATTTGTATATACAAGTAGTATCTAAAGAAAGATAAGAACACATGCTAACTGGTTTTCAATTATATATACAATAGTCATGAACATGCACATATGCCTTGGGACATCGAACCTAGATTGGAATCAGACAAGCAATCCTGAACTATTTGTATATACAAGTAATGTCTAAAGAAAGATATGGACACATGCTAACTCATTTTCAATTTTATATATGTCATGAAACATGTACATATGCCTTGAGAAATTGAACCTAGATTGGTGTTCCCCAATAATTAGAAAAGGTGAGGTTAAGATAACCCCATCAAATGTAGTCCAATCAGGGAATACATTCCAGTATCCTTTCTTAAGGGTATTTTGTCCCTTCTTTTCTCATATAAGCTTGCTATAAATATGATTAGAGGAACTTATAAATGAAATATATAGAAAGTCTCTTTGGCATTACTTACATTTTTGCTCCTTATTACAGCAATAAAGATTTTGTTTCTCATTCTTTTATTGTTCTGTTGGAAACTTCTTTCTTCCTCAAAATAAATAAACACAAATTAGGGGCTTAATTCCCCATAAATTTGATACAAAACATTGACCATCAACAAGACATGCATATGCATTTTTCCACTCACCAAGCAATGTGAAATATACTGCAGAAAGACAACTCTTTATTCTTATAATTAAAAGCCATTTTTTCTTTTTGTAATTTAAGTATCTTGTTATTCATTCTCAGACAAATTTACTCCTACCATAATGTTTATTGATGGAAATTCTAAAAATCCTTAATGAATTATTGATTCTGTTCATGTTGCAGTTGGTATTTTTTTTTGCTAAAAGTCATTTGGATGGAGTAAGTTGATTTAGGTCTCAACATCGATCCATAATGACTGTCAATATATCGAATAAATAATAAATTTTTTGAAACCTGATAGAAAAGATGACGAAAGCACAAAATAAAATCCAATTTGTATGTGAAACTTATGATGTTGCATCTGTAACCTACTTGGGCTGCGCAGCCTGTTCGCTGTGCAACATGGTCCATTCGTTTTGTGTTTTTCAGCCAATCAACTGCTACAAGTTCCATGAGGTACTTTCCTGCAGGAATCTTAACCAAAAAAAAAATGAAATTAATTTTCCTATTGCCTTTCTGAACCATTCAGGATGAATATATATATATATATATATAACACTGTATAAAGATCATATCAAAGAAGAAGCAACCTTGGATTTGTCTTTAAAAAAATTTTCACTGCGGACTTTGAAAATATTTCCATCTGGTATTTTCCAACAATTGCGACTATCTTCACCATCATCCCACCGTAAATTGCCAGAGAAGCAGGATGTGTCTAAAATATCTGAAGTCTCTACTTCTATATCTTTAATATTTTATGAGGAACACATCAATAAGAAGCTAATCCATCATATAGCAAAAACTAAATTTGCTTCACTATCAGTAAATAAACTAGCAAACCTGGCTGCTTGATATTATTTCCAGTTTTGATTGAGGATCCCTGCACGGAAAAGTCCTTCAGAATTACAAAATGATAAGATATACATATCAGTGGAAAAAACATTATACCCACCTCTTCTTCGGCCTCAGGTACTTGATTGTCCTCATCTTCATCGGAGTCTTCATCTAAAATAATCGGTTGTCTATTATCATTAAACACTTGGTCCAGGGATACACCAGGCTGAAAGCTGATTTCCTCGGTTTTCTGTTCCTTCTTAGAAGAAACAGAATCTGATGTCATACTGACCATGATTGGAATTCTATTTGCTGTGTGAATTTCATCTGTTTGAGAAAATAATTCGCGTATTCCTGCCACAAAAAGGACACATCGTGCTTGCATTTAGATATAAACTACAAAAGAAGGCTTTTTTTCTTCAGACTGATATTATGTTTCCATGCATATGAACTGTCCAGAATGCTACCTGCGACACTATTCAACATATGAAGTAAACAGTGTTGCTGAAATGAAGGAAAATAACCAACAAACCACCCTTTAAGGTCAATTTGCATAAGCTGCTGGACTTGAGTACGAGGTCTCCCATCACGAGATCTAAGGGGTGAAATCTTGAATCCACCACCTAGATAACGAGTAAAACATGTATAAGTTACTGCAGCAAATCATTTACTCATGAGAAAGATATATGTATATACTCTCGATATGGGCTCTCACGAATCCTCGCTGAGGACCACAGTTTGGATGATCTCTAGATCGGAACAGCACAACTGCCATACAAGAAGCACACCACCATGAATGCCGCATAATGTGATAGACAAAAGCAGATTTCTTAACTTTAATACTGACCATAACTTCCATCATCATTACGTCGCCAGTAACGCACATAACAAAGGTCACGAGGCCACACAAACCTGCAGAAGCACATCTTAAATTGACAATGTTGGAAAAATTCTTGATGGTAATTTTCCTAGATCTGGAAGAACACACTGCCAACAGCGAAAAAGTATGCAAACCAATTATTGTGTGATAGTAAATGTTTTCAGTATTTAATAAAACAAGAGCAAGAAGTATGCCTAAAAGAAAAACTAAACTAAAAAGTTGTTTTAGTAACTAGGAAGAATTTAGTGCTAAGGCAGCAGCTCTTTCATCATAATGAAGGTTATTTTATGTCACCAATTTTCTGATAGATTTTTTTTCTTTCCAACATATCACTACTTTAAATAGCCCTGTTTTATTAGTCTATGATAAAACATTGACATCCTTCCTTGTAAGTTACAACAAACTTTAGAAGAATTACTACCTAGAAGTTTCATTTCCACAGGATATAATCAAAGAAATAAATATTTTATTGTGACTTTTGCTTGATACATGTTTATACCACAACCAAAAAATTTGCTCATTCCTTGGATATTTGAGAATCTGAGATAACATCACATTAGCATATAATTTTTTTTGTTTAATACTAGAGAAGACGTTTTGGCAATGCCTTCAAAGCCAAGATAATAAAAGAGACATATGCATTCTGCAGTAATGTCACAGGTTTCTTGAAAGAAAGGTGTATGTCTGATAACTGGACATGGACATTAATTCTACTGAGCTATCAGTAGTGTAATCAAGAAGGAACGATGTTACAATTATATGGAGGCATTGAAAAGACTGAAAAGGTCTAAGTTTTGAAATAACCTAGGATATTTACAAAGAATTGTTGTACTGATAAAGTGCTGGTTGGTAAATAGATGCACTCTATAGGAAGATTCTCCAAGCATAGGAGTTTGCAAAGCTCTTGTAATTTTTACTTGGAATGGTGATTAACAGGAAAACTTCAGGTTCACTGTAGCTTGAGCATAAGCCAATCACCAAAGAATGAGCTCACATGTACTGAAATTGACATCATTCTGTGTTTATATACAGGTTACATGCCAATCAGTGCCAACAATCATATGAAGGTAGCTCTCAAACTAAAGCACTTCATAGAAACCATTCTGTCAATAAATTTAAAATATTGATTTAATGAACAAGAACCAACAAGTGATAACTCTTTTCTATCATTTCTTAAATTTACTAGATTTTATATTCATCTAGAGGATAAATGACGTATGGGAGTAAATCTTTAACCAAACTCTTGAAAAGAGTGTATGTAACAATCAACTTCAGAGCATAAACTGCCATTTCATTCTGACCAGTACAAAATAGGCGATACATACCGATCCAAGTGTGAACCTGTATGCAGACTAACTGCCCCCATTTTGGGCAGTCCAGTCCGACCTATTGAAAGAATAAAAGAAAAACATTTTAATACTGCTAGTTTAGGGCACGTGTTCATAAGCCCTCTTCATTGTACACACAAGTATGCTGCCACTATCGTCGCATGTTGCTCATCATGCATCGTCGATTCCGAGTACACTTCCTCTTCTCTTTCTTCTTCCTCTTTGAGTCTTTGGAAGATATTGGTGTACCATGTGTCAGTACATCAATACCGACTAGAACATATTAGTCCGTCTAGGGACCAATACACATGGTCCGCACGAGATGGCAAACCTTACTTCAGACTTCAACAGATGTTTAACAAGGACGTATAAGCAAAACAAAAGCAACAATATGATCAAGCTCTGTCTAACAGTATGCTCGTGTAAGAAGAGATGATTAATTCTCATGTACATGCCAAATCTTTCCATTTATCCATATCTAGAAGTCCATAATTTTAATTGTGATGGTCATGAAATCAAGTTATACTACCATACTTCTAGCTTTTCAGGAGAACATTCAAAATGACTTATTTATGATATCCACATAACAAGATGTGGAAAAATGAACAGAGTCAAAGACAGCCTTGTTATATAGATGCATTAAAACAAAGCAAAATCATCAATGCTACTTTTCCAAAAGCAAATATTATTTCCAAATTTTAGCTTGTTAGAAGCTATACATTACAAAGTATAATTGGTAAGTTATGCTTAGAATGTAATGCAACATAAAATTTTAATAATCTCCCTAAAAATGAGTAAGTTATTGCCCAATAATAAAGCAACAGTACCAAATATTCATAATTTCATATTATGGTGGAATCTAAATTATAAAGTATCAATTTACTGTAATATTAAGCATAGGATGAAAATGAACAGTGAGCACACTTACAAAAGAAACAGTATGAGTTGTGGTTTGATAGGTTTGGACACTAAGTTGCAAAATATTACCTTGAGAACCACTCCAGCTGCAATCTATGGTACAATATAGCTGTATGTCCATCAACCTCTTCAACTAAACTGCCATGCTGGAAACTACAATCCCACCTGTGACCAAAGAGGTAAAGATGTTAAAAAAAATGATAAACCAAGAAAAAGAAAAACTTACCAATCATAAGAAGAAGCTCACTCAAAACGTGTGCCATCCATAGTCATTACAAGCCCAAATATAGCTTCACATGTGGCATCCACCACACCAACTGCTTTCATTGTCTTACTATATCTTCTTGGCTGCACAGGATTAAAGAAAGCAAGATGAAATGTCAATCACGTTACTTTAAGAAATACATCTAAATATGGTTTTATAACATACAAGATCGACTTCTACAAGTTCTTCAAAAATCCGTAGCCCTGCAATTTATATCAAGAAATCAGTCATATTATCTAACATAGGACAAGCTCACTTGTCAAAGCCAGTGCATTAAAATTCCCACAAGGAAGGAAGCTGTGTAAAAAAGGAAGAACAAAAGAAGTAAACTTGCCATTCTGGCAACTGACCAGTCGCCAATGCTTTCTAGGAGAAACTTGATCACGCGTCCAGTCAAGTACTGAATCAGGAGGGCCTAATAATAAAAGAATCAAAGTCATGTCCTGAAATACCAGTTGGAAACTATGTAGTACTTAATAGTTTATACTATAATTTTGAGGTCAGTTGGTATGTACCATTCCCAATGGTTGTCCCCTGTAGTAAAGTGGGATTATTTTCCTCTTCATCTTCAGGACTACAATTAGAAAAAGATTTGGTTAACACGGAGAAGAGACCAAGCATGCAAATTGTACAAGCATATTATAAATGGATAAAACAAGTTTAACATTTTCAGATTTCATAGTTGACCAGGAAAAATTGGTAAAATAGAAGTCTTTTCTTAGGCATTGAACTCTGACAGCCCACAAGTAGTGACAATGCATCACCAATTGGGAAAACCAGCAGAGGCAGCCTAGTCAATGCTCTGACTAAATAAATTAACATTTGCATGTAAAATGAAGTACATGTTATGTCCAAGTCTTTAAAGTATATAAAATGTATAAACACAAAACATGCAGTAAAGTAGATAAAAAATTAGCATGAATTCTCTACTGTAATCATATAATATAATGATAAATAATGCACAGACCTGCACAACCAAGATGTGTAAATATGAAATATGAAATTAGTATAGTTTGCTGACAGAATTATGGTACATTTGATTTAAAGGAAGTGGGAAAAATGAACCAAAAGTTTGATACATGGAAGTAATAAAAGCTGAAGAAAATACCATCTTATCTAAAGACCTTAGTCAACGAATTTCTGCTCAGGGGACTGGAAATAAAATTTAGACTTCAGAGAACTTACACAGTGTCAAAATTTTCTTTATGATCTCCACTTTTCTTTTGGTAAGTTTGAGAAGGTCATTATATAAAATTTCAATCTCAGTGTGAACTGGTACACACCAATTAACATGTACCATTCCAACAGGAAATTGGAATGGGATGCACCTCATTAGCCAATACAATCCTTTTGCTCATAAATCACCCTCACACTTGCAAATCTATCTAAAATGTGAACCTAAATGAATCTATCAATTTTATGGTTTTCATAAATTTAATCTCCGGGTTTTTTTAATTGAGATTTGAGACTGTTAATTACCTTAACTTAATTATCCTTTCACCTTGAGGTTTGGAATCCAGTATATATCACCTCAACACCATGAAATGTCTTCAGATTATATTCTCTAGAAAATTCTTAACTTTTCCACAAGCTTGGACAAGATTGATATGATCTTTTTGTGTAATCTGCTAGAGCCTCATAAAAAAGAGTAATGTCAGGATCTTCAAACGTGAAATTACAACATCCTCAGTCACTTTCACTATCAATCTTTTTCTCATTGTTCATATATATTCACTTTAGCCTACCCCTTTCTATGCTTCTCTGTTTTTCTTTATTTTTTACTTATTTTTCCTATGGAATAGTTCACATATAGCATTATTATGTTATCTTGATTCATACCAATGATGAAAGGAAGGCCACAAGAATGCTCCCTTGATCAATCTTTTCTCCTTGCTCTATTTGGTAATATTGTTGACCCAACATTTTTACAGCATATGGTAAAACATTTTTAGTTCCAATTTGGACAAATCAAATTTGATATTTATTGTAACTTAATCTCTTCAAATTATGCAGGAACCTCAACAAATGTAACAAGGGTAATTTCAACCATCAACTAAGGTCAATGTACTTTGGCAGATAAGGAATATGACTAAGATTATGTGAGGATCTTATATGTTGACTTCTTGGTATATTGAATCTCCCTTTAGCGCACAAAAGTTGTGGATGTTGTGTTCAAGATAGGTACCATCAAAAGTCCATTTAGGATAAGTTAGGAGTGAGTTGTAAAATTCTTCTCCCAAATAAACCTTCAAACTTCACACTCATAACTTTATAGTTAAATCCTAACAGGAATGAACTTTGCAAAGTTTATTCTAATCAACTTGGCTCAGAGGATTAGACAGTTGTAAACAATTGTCAGGATTGACACAATAAACAAGCAATTATATTGGTATTTTTTGATAAAAAATATTTCAATTAATAGAGTCAAAGAGTCCCCTTATTCATTGCCATCCCTGCATGAATATGAGTGTAAGGTTCTCAAGGAACAATTCCACAAAAATCACATATAAATTGTCCAAAAATGCAAGCTTGGGTAGAAGGAGAGAAAGAAAATTAAATGGCAATAAAAACAGAAATATCTACAAGACAAATTTTGCAGTAAGTTGAGGTTTAATGGAGATACTAAAAAATCAAGACTAACATGTAAAATGTAAGTTTGAGTACCACAATGACATCCCAGTTCCCAATTCTATCTGAGTCTTAAATAAAATTTTGAGTTTTCTATCATCGGTATGGAATCTGTAATATAGTGTCACACTGTCACTTACTGCCTTTCATGACTAGAGGAAGATTCATTCCTGTCAATATCCATTCCAAGGTCACTTGAAACAGAGGTCCGATTTCCATTACTGGTCACTGAACCATGTTGCTGTAACAAAAAGATGATTAACAATCACTTATGCAAACAAATAAACGACTTTCAAAAGTTTACTGAAAATGTATTTGGCGGGTAAAATTTCTACAGTATATAGAAATTGCTGTACCTGATCAATAACTAACTCAATCTTCTCTTTCCAGTTAAGAGCATCCTGGATGTTGTATGCTGCCATCTGTTCATGAGTAGAGCTATGCATTAATATTGTTTTCTTCAAAAAAAAATTTTGTTTGCTTAACTTTAAAAGCAAGAAGATCCACCTTCAATTTAAAAAATGAAACAACGGTAACTATAATAATAACTGAAACAAATAAGGAAACATGATTAAGGACCTGCATAGATCATATGGGTTTCAGATGACAAAAAGGATATGAGCAGATATGCTTGTCTAGCACATGTGCTAATTCTGGTATTGACAATGCCAGTCTGTCCTACTCAGCTTTTGCAATATGTATTGTATTTCATCAGACAAATATCCCATAGAATTCGCAAGTCACATTCTCACCTTCTCAAATATTTAGATTTATCCAAAATTTGAAATATGGCACAATAAAAATCATCAAAAAATCTCCCTTTTGTATAATTTACATACTCCTCAAATTGTAATCTAACACTTACAATATGGACAATAGAAGTCAATATTCTAAGAAGTGGTTCACTTGGCTGTAGATGCTGCATATGCTTATGTAATATATGGCTACATCACATACGGTCTATGTTGCCTGAATATGTCATATTACCACATATATTATCTGTGCAGCCACATTTGAATTTATGTCTTCTCCTCATTGCAATTAGTTTAAATATTGATTTCATAGCTTTGGTTTAAAAAAACTAATACATGTTTGTTATGACTTACATCTTATTCAGTGATAAACATGATACTATAAGTTAGTAGTTTGGAAATAGGACAAAATTTTCTATTATTTTCGTAGATAAATTTCATATTTCTAATTAATTATGTTGATTGTTATGTACTTACATAGAAAACATGGTTCAGGATTGGTTTGGGATCCCTGGTGTGGGTAAGAAGATTTATGTTGATTGTTGAGTCATCAAATTGTACATTCCATTTTATTTTCTCTCGCTCTCTCTAGTCAGCTAGGAACAAGAGAATGGAAAAAGTGAAGAACATTGAGAAGGAAAATAGAGTATGCTGTCTTTGGATAAAGGAAGGTGGGGAAGTCACTGGAGAAGTCACCTTGATCCTTTAAAAATAAATTTTGTCATTGGCTGTGATTTGTGAATGGCAAACACATTATCTCAGCTTGTAATGTTGCTCTTGTAAAGGCTACATGAAAGCTTTACTTTTCCACCATTATCATGGAAATTTTCTGCCCTATAACCTTGTTTGGGAAACTAAATTTTAATTCCCAACCAAAGCTGTACATGAAAACTGTACTGTATAGGTACATAAAAGTAATTGTGTGTAAGCTCACACCAACTACAACTAACAGTAATAAACTGCCGAGTATGTCAACCATCAGCTTCACTCCTCCCACACCTATCTATCTGCTCAGTGTACAGTACAAACAAACAACAATAAAACTAACACAAACTACCCAAACAACCAACTACAGCAGAAGAAATCACATAAATTTGTAAGGAACAGTATTTTTTCCTGAGAACAATGTAATGCTTCAACCTGGTTCCCAAAAATTCTAACTTACCAGACAATTACTCCATGTCAACCGAACCTATACCTGCTTTTCCAAGTGATCCACATAAGATTGGAAGTGCATCTTCCAAGATAAGGAAGTTGTTTCCCTGTTTTGACTTTAGTGCTATGTAGAGGAAACCTTGGTTTTATAACAGAGACGATTTTGCTATGCCTAGACCTTGTGGTTTTTTGTAAATTTAAACTTTTTATGCAAATATCGACGTGTTTTCATCTTCCATTTTATATGATTTTTATGTTTTTTTTATATATCCACTTCCATACTTCCCCAAATCCTCATGGAAAAAGAAGGATCATACAGAAGGCCAGGTCCAATATGGAAAACCTCTATTGCAAGAGCTTATGCAGAAACCAAAAGGTATGTCAAATGATGAATGGGAGAATCTAAGACAGTAAAGCCATTAACGTTTGCCAACTTTTTTGAGTTCCAATGAATAATCCACCATTCTATTTGAAAAGATACTAGAAGTGGATTTCCTAGCATCAACATCGTCAATGATACACATAACAGTGTACCGTTGTAAAATGGGATTGTTTCCCACAAAGTATAAGAACATCTTAGAAATCCTAAGGTATTCTAATATGTATTTCACTACTAACCAATTGTCCTGTATTATAAAACAAATTGAATATTTGTACCACACATTAGCAAGTCTGATATCATGCACATAGCTTAGATAAGGCTTCCAATTGTCAAACATATGGGTTCCTCTTCATCTCATCCTTCTACTTGTTCTTGAAGGAACAAATTGATTGCTGGAGAACCAACCAATGAGTGTTAATTCTTTGTGGCTTCATTAAGATATATTCAATAGGGAGTTGTTCGACAAAATTAACATGACACATTCTATATCTAAGGACAAAATGATGCTCAAAAAACCATTTCAATATTATTTTATTCCTGACAACAACATAAAAGATCATCTTATAAAGCATAGATTCTTACCCTTGATATATTTGGGTTCCACTGTAAAGCTCAAAAACCAATAACAAACATAATGAAAATGAAGAGAGAGAAGGAAATAATTTACCACCTACCATTATTTGTTGATTTGTCTCTTTCTTGTTGTAAACACATAAAACATAAACCATCTGAAAAAAAAATAATTAGTTGCATATTCACCCAAATGCTGATTCTGAAATATATTCAAACATACTCATAATAGCAAACAACATTTTAGGAAGTTGATACGTGATCTGAGAATTTGTAGTGTTGAGAACTTGAGAAATCAATTCTGTGAACTTGCTTGCTAAGAAAGCAAATTACAGATCAGAATTGGAAAGCATTTGAAAGCTTCATAAGGATCAACCTTTTTTTCTTAAATCAATTATTATGAATATTTACATTTTTCACAAGAAATACCAAGAATTGGCGTGCTGAGTGGAACAATTTACAACGTCAAATCATATAGTACTGGCTATATTAACTCATGTTGGATGTGCCAACATATTGCTAGCCCAATTTTTGGCCTATGCCAAGCAACACAGCATGGAAACATATCCTGCCAATAAACTATCAGCACTTCCTTATCCATGTATGACAATCCTTGACAAGTACGTAGCCTTGTTGATAAAGTAATCACAAAGAAGGATTTTGAAAAGTAAATGTGCAAAGTAGAAAGTCTAACACATGGAGTGTATGAGAACTCATGGTCCTAAGAAATGCCTCAATAAAAATGTGAAAGATGAACACAATATTTGTATGATACTTCTTGGAGTATTATTAGATACTTTGAATTGTGTCTTTTCCAATATAACAGAGAGGCATGGATGCTTTGAATTATTCGTGATATCCTACGTTATAGCCTGCAAGGTATCCATCCATATGTAATATATGTCAGACATTTAACACCCTTAACAAATACTGCCTCAAAAAATATGATTTTGTTCTATATAATCTGATCAGTTACTATATAATACTTGACAGATACTTCTTTGTAGAAATTTGTTTTTCCCAATGCTGATCTTTTTAAGTTTAAACGAGATGGGCATCTGATTAGATGCACTGCTTCATCTGAATTAAGAACCCAATTGTGATTAAAAAATTAGAATGATAATCTCCCTTCATTTGTCAAAACTAATTGCTATCTTCGTCACATTCTCAAAGAAATATGTTACTAAAACTAATTTTACTCATGATAGTTGGATTAGGGATGCTAGTTAATACTTGTATCTACATATTCTAAAATCATAAATAGATTTAAAAATATTATACATTTTGAAAATATTTATTTCTTCATCTATGTCATATCATATCGTATTATTTTATAACTTTATGTAGCACATCTACACATACAATTCTATATCAGTTTCTTATATTTGTGTCTTTTATGTTCTATTTAAGGCCTTAAATCTTATTGAAAAAGATACTCTTTTGGTATCTGAACTTGGTACCAAAAATTAATAAATCAAAAGTAGTTGAAGCTTCAGTTCAGTGCACAATTGCACTATATATTTCTCAAAGTGTTTGAATATCTGGCAGCCATTGGTTCTGCAGCCTCTTTGTGCCATCCTCAACAATGCATACAATCGAGGGCGTGTTCCATCATGGAGCTTTTTATCTTAGATCTGAAGAAATTTCACCATTTTTTATTTGTTGCTAAGTTTTAGCACCCTTTATTTCTGTTGGACAATCCTGCTCCAGGACATTATTTAGGTTTGGTTAGTTCTGCTGCTGAACTTAAATCAAATTAGTTATATTTGCCAAAAAGAAAGAATCATCTTTTTCCATTAGAATGGAATTAATCTTAATATATTTTAATTTTTCACTGAGAATTAATTGTTTACTAGTCAATGTTCTCAGAGCTCATCAAGCTGGCTATAACCCGTCTCAAGTGCGCAGCCTAGTTATTTTCACAACACTTCATGTTGCTCTGGCATGATAGTCTTAGTACCAGTTCTTTTAAAAAATAGAGCTTGTTAGGTTGCTTGAGGAAAAATCAGGCTTCAATAAATTTACAGGCATCAAATTTAATATGTTAAAAGCCAAATTTGTCAGGAAGAGCATTCTAATTGTTGGTTGATGGAAACTGCATGAAGAAAACATGATGCAGAGGAGAAATTCACTTCCAAACCTTCAACATTCATCTTGGAAGTCAAGTGTGTAACTACCAAAATAATACCAACATTGATTCTACATATGTCCTGTTAAAAAAAACACAGAAAATAAATAGATTTGAAACAATAAATAGAACTCACATGACCCTGATGTGTTTTTAAGCCCCTATCCTCGACTCTGCAATTCCCATCTATAACAAGAGTCTTGAGCGGAACCTGAACAGGTATAAAAGGAAAATATGAAAAAATGGCCCTTTAACCATACGAATTAAAAGGATAATAATGGCATTGAAGAAGACAATATCATTATCTAAACCTAAAAGAACCAAAGAGTAAGAAGATGAAATGAAATCCAGCATCAATTTGACACAATAAGCGAAAAAAAGAAGAATGATACCGTAGTATCCGTAGGCTTTCTCTTATAATAGGCCAGAAGCCTCGTCTCGAGGACGAAGTACCGCATGTGGAAGAACGACTTGCCAATCTTCCGCCGGCCATATCTAACCATCCATCCCTCACAGACCACCTTCGCCATTCCTCCTCGCGTCCCAGAAACCTCAACAAATCCCCGTCAATTCAACCTCATCAGTCACGAAAACCGATCGGCAATCTCCCCACACACGATTCGACCCCGAATTCAGCAATTCCTGGATTCAAAGATCGCAACACGCCCTAGGGTTTCCACGCACGCGGATCCGGATCGGCCTGGATCGAGAATTTGAGGGAGGAATGAGGTGGGGAAGAGCGTTTCGACCGGCGAGTTGCCCAACGAAGAGAGAGGAGAGGAGACGAGGTGCGTAACCAATATCGGAGAGTTCCCACTCCAAAACGGCCACGACGTGGTCGTTATATTAGTTGGTCGTCTTATTTCCTCCTCCTCTTTTTATTTATTTTTCTTCGTGGAAGAGAAATTATTTCGATAGAGAATAATAATAATAAATAAGGAGTGGCGGGAAGGACAGGTGTCTTACGAAACGAGATGTCCGTGGGAGGCTACGGGGTTCCTATGCGACTTCCGCGTACAAGGTTGGTGTGTACACGCCCTCAAGGGCTGCTTCATGTAGGTGCGCGTGTGAACTTTAATATTCGTGCAGGTTGACTTGGTCAAAATTAGCTAATTAGATTTGGAGTCCCCAAATTGACAATTTCTCATGTTTGCTTATAATTGCTTCAACCATGTTATTTATTTATGGTGCTCTCACACTGTGAAACAATTACAAATTATCTTTCATGAGATGGAAAAAAATTATATATATATATATATATATATATATATATATATATATATATATATATATATACATATATATATATATACATATATATATATATATATATACATATATATATATACATATATATATACATATATATATATGTATGTATATATATATATATATACATATATATATATATATGTACATATATATATATATATATGTACATATATATATATAT